GGTTCCCTATAGGTGCCACAAGTGAGTGGCACTTTCGCTTGTGGGGGGTCCGCTCGATCCGATCTGCCCAGAGTCCATTCCTTTTCAACACTGCCAGGATGAAGTCTGGCGACCTGAGAGAAGAAGCGCAGGGTCGTGGTTGGGCGGCGCACAAAGCGAAAGTCTTTGGTATCAAAACTTCTTTCCCAGGGACAGCACCATGGACTGATCTCTGGACGGTGTCCCTGGACTTTCAAGAAACGCCACTCCCGTGGGATCTCTGGACCTCCACAAATTAAACCTCCTCTCCGTTGTTGGTCTCATCACCTGAACGAAAAACACTGGCAATATACCACGGTTCTCAGTGTAGACCGTTGCTGAACAACACATGATGCACATGGGCAATTCAATCTGTACATCTCAACATCACTCACAGACTCAACGGTTGGAAGGAGACCCTATTCTCACCTAGTGGGGAATGTTCACCTTCCTAGAAAGTTTGGCGATCAGAATGCTTCACCCAAAACACACGCACACACACTGAGATAAGGTTTCATCCAGTATCAGAACCCACAGAGAAAGGGGTGCACGAACGGCAAGGTCGCTGGGTCGGTCGATGTAAAGGTGTTCGAACAGAAGAGGCTGCTGCAATTCCGCGGGAAATACGTGAGGGGGAAAAGGTTTGGGGAAAGTAGCATAAGAACCACCATGAAAATGAAAAAAAACCGGCGGAAGGGCGGACCAGTGGTGCCGATGTGTTAAAGCAGGTACAGGATCAAGCGTCTTTGATCCCTTCCCATCTGTGATCATAGCTTCGTTGCGTGCACGCCCCTGCTTACAGTCAGTGAAAGAAAACTCCAAACCCTTAGGCACGGGGCTTGACACACACACACACACAAACACACCTTCACAAAATGACTTCTTCCAAGTCCCTAGGACCCCACGTAATAATTACGGGCCTAAATGGTTTCATTCTAGATAGAGCCACCTTGAATATGACTCGGAAGGACCCAACATGGACATGTTGATGCTGGACCCTTTAACAACTCCTCGATGGGCCCAACCATTTTTTCCAGGGCGGGATACATAGGGCCTGGTATGGAAAGTGTGCACATGTCTGCACGAACATGGTTTCTCTGTGCTTCTTTTTGTAGGGTGATCCTTCAGGAACGTCTTGCAACCCCGATTGAGTTGATGCTGCTTGATGGCTGCGGGTATTCTTGTTAATGATGTGGTTTCAGTCAACTGGAAATACACCCCAAGCGCAGCAACACCTCTGTTGCCCAAATTGCATTCTTTAACGCCACCTCTTTTGCCTTCCATTGGGCTCTGTGCAGCCAGCGTCTCCCCTCCGCCCCCAAAACCGCATGTTCTCGGCCAAGGTTCCCCTGCAACGACTTCTCAGCTAAGCAAATACAGGACGCCTCGCGCGCAGTGGCTGTCAGCAGAACCTCCCAATCTGCCAAGAACTGCTCGGGTGCCCGGCGCAAAACACGTTCCCTGCGCGCGGAGGTGCGCGGGATGCGCAAGGAGCGATGGAGGAGCCTGGAGGAGTCCAGAGCACTGGATGGGTCGAATTAGAAGTCTGTACCAAGATCGCAAGTTCCAAAGGCACCACAATACCCATATTTCGAAGCTTCGCAAGCCCGTTTGACGATGTGGATAGTAATGTGGACGTCTGGGGTCGTTCGTAGCTGTGCGGACGTTCTGGGGAGCTTAGAAGTTTGTTGGCTTACAACGACAATAGCAAACATAACACACAGCAAAAAGAAAAAGGGCACGAGAAAGAAACAACTAAAGTTCTTGATCCGATCCATGCACAGTCGTTTTCAGCCTTTCCACATGAAAAAGCTCATTGACGTGAACAGTCCCTCCCTCGGCCCCTGAAGCACCGAGCTTCGGATGATGGGAATCCTCCAAAGCCTGCAGAAGCAGCACCTGACGAAGAGAAGGCCTTTCAAGGCGTCATTCCGTCTTGGACAGGGGCAAATTAGAATGAGAGAACCCCATTCAAACAGCATGACATGTTGCCACACAGGCGGTTCCCTAGAGTAGGCTTCGATGCAGTATACTGGTAGTTAAGCAGGCTTCCATGACATGCACCCTGCGAACTTTAACATAGTAACCCATGGCTGATCTAGGGGATATCTAGGGAATATGAAACCTGCGTTCTCCCACCTGTTCCGTAGGACGTCTGATCAGTGTGAGGTGCAGTTGATCTTTGAGCGGCTCATCCTCTTGAAGCTCTCGTGTGCCATCGATGAAGCGCTGCTCGCGCATGCGAATGCCCGTCTCTTGCTTCACTGCATCCTGCATGACTGGATGATTTGCTCTGAATCGAAGGCACGTTTGGTTTGCAGGACATTCTCTCTGCTATTCGCGCGGTGGGAAAACCACTCTTGATTCTACAACTTTGCCAGCGCCATGACAACGTTGGAAGTCAATGGCAGGAGAGATGGCAGGAGGCAATGGGAAGGAACAACATCCAATGACAGCAAGGCAAGAGCTTCTATATATATAACTTCAATTCAACGTCCAAGGCGCAGAAAGACTAACCTCGAAGCAGTTCCGTTCTACACGAATAGAAGCACATTGCGCTAAGCAAACCGTAGCACCAAGTAGAAGAGCTGCTACAACTTAACGATCGTGAGCCACCGGTCAACACTGCCAACATGACTGTTCAGTGCACAAACGCCACCAGCACCTCTGGTATGATTTTATGGGCCTCAGGTATGATGTGAAACGGGTGCTGGTGTAGAGTGTAGAAAATGCTTCACCCTGACAAAGAAGAACCCCTCAAAAGGCCACAAGGGGGCCAAGAAACATCAGAAGACAATAGAAGAAAAACGTGTATTTTTCGTATTTTTTCCTGCCAAACCGAGTGCAGCTCTTCGATTTTGTCAAACAAAAACTCTCCTTGAGATCCCTCAGAGTCCAGCCCTCTTGTGCTGGGAAACTCCAAGAGTCGCCTGCCAAGGTGGTCACTTGCACCATGGCGACTGCTGGTGTGTCCGTCTGTCGACGAGTTCAGAAAACGCGGTCGGTCGAGCTGTCCTTGGCGCATGTCTCGTCTCGTCTGGTCGCGATGTCTCATTGGAGGGGCGGTCGTCGTTTCTTTTTTTGGAAGAAGTGCAGGCTGATGAAGACTGTCTTGGGGACGTTGCGTGGCCGTCTTGGACGCCACATGCCACGTTCGTGGATTGTGTCTTCTCGCTCTGTACTCTTTCTGGCCTTGCTCCTTGTCTGCTTCAGGGCAGTTCTTACTCTTATGGCCTTTTGAGGGGTCAGACAGGTCGAGAACCTGGTGGCTTCGAACACTATCCAACTCTTGAGCCTTGAACCGCAGGGAACGGCAAGACGACCTATCCTTCCAACCGCAGGGAACGGCCGCCGAACGAATGAGCCAAGCTATAGATGAATATTATGATTCATGATTCATGATTGATGTCATTCGCATGCCGGTGCCAAATGTATATTACACAAAGAAAGTCGGCACCCAAAACCAGCTTCCATACTCCAAGTCGGCCCGATGAGTATCAGCATGTATCAGCATCCTCGGTGTCTCGAGACAGAGCCCGGTGACTGAGTGGGTTCCCCACACATTGACCAATCCATTCCAAGGGAGGTTGAGAGACCTGAACTAGGACCCTGTACTGGAACATATTTGGGATGGGCTATAGGCTACTATAGGGCTGTTCAACCTCTCATCTCTCTCCCTAGATGCACGCTCCTATAGATGCACACCCCGTTTTTGGGCCCTACGCCAGATTCCGCCAGCTCTAAACGGTGCTACCATGACGGGTCCAGCACACCTTTTTCTCCGAACAAAACCAGCAGCAGCTCGGTGGGTGAGGAAGGACTGACTTGCGAGACAGCGTTGGCACTCGAAACACTTGAGCCTACATAGTATCAGCCAAATAGATAGACAAGTGGATCCCCACTAACAATGTATTGGATACCGTTTCTATCTATTTGGGGCTATATAGGATATGTGATTATCATTCAAGATTGGAATCACGGTCACTTTATGTGTCAAATCCCAAAATGTGATTGGAAGATAACCATTCAAGTCGATTGCAGATTGATTGATCAAAACAAACGTCCCAAACTACCAAACGGTCCCAAACGTTTTGGAGACACCAAAACTTCACAAAGACAACTTCTTGACGGCCAGAACTTCTTGACGGCACAACTTCTTGACTCAACGCCAACTTCAAAGGCTGTGGCCATGTCGTCATTGCCAGGTGGCCTGGCGGAAAGGGTGGAAAAGCTTGTCTTCTTTCTCGCTCCCTTTCAACAGACCGTCCGTGTATTTTTGATGACCCATGCCCACGACAAAACATGGCAAACAACATGCGTTCTTCTACAGTAATTTGTGCAAACCCCCCAATTCACCGCAAGAATACCCTTGGTGAGGGTTGTCGTATCAGCCTAACATACGGGTCAAATCAAGGCCCAGGAAAGCTTTGATACCTATAGGGAGTGCCGAGGAGACCTCAGCAACTCTTCAATCCATTGATTTCATGCAGGATCTTCAGTCGAGGTCGTCATCAATTCCCAGCGTTTTGGGTTTAGATGGGGGGTTGTGCCCCTGGTTTCGCAAGCAAAGCAGGTTGGTCTGCAACCGAGTCTTTTTGTTCTCCACCCTTCGATCTCCGACTGTGGCGTCGCTCGTTTCAGCTTGGCCCACTGCTTCCTCAGATGCGAGAGCATGGGAAACTCTGTGGGAACAATTCACGACATATCATGACCCCCTCAATTTGCCGGGGCCTATCTTTTCTCATTGACCCATATATGACACTGCCCTCCCTTCCTAAAGCATGCAGCCTGGGGAAGAGTCGAACCTCATGGCCTAGGAGGGCTAGGAGGGGAAGAAGAAGCTTCAAGTCCGGCCTCATGGCTTCTTAGCCCTCATCGGGCTGGGAAGGTGGGACCTTTTCCACTCATAAAGCCCAGCATCGTTGAGGTGTCATCAATCCAGGCTTGCTCTTCCCACCAGTCCCAGCGAGGGACCTCCGGCCTTGGGGCAGTGCTCCGATCTCTTTTTTTTGTGGCATTGGGGAAACCAGGTCACTGGATGACACAAAGGGGAAACCAGGTCACCGGATGACAAGTTTGGCCTATGGATGTCCCAGCCCCTGACGGTGGGATGATTGATGGACCACCAAAGCAAGACCAAGGCCATGGACGAAAGGATCTAAAGATCGATGGTCTCCACGGCCGGGCGCCCAGCAAAAGGGGTCTAGCCCCTGAAGACAAAGAGTGCAGCAAAGAATCAAGCAAAACTAAGGGAGATAGAATGTGTCCGAAGGTAAGGTGGCCACCAGGCCACTCTAGGGTTTAGCCCTTTGCATTGTCCTGATGCTCTTCTGCGGCCTTCGCTGGAAAAGATCTTCACAGTGTTTCTGGTTTGGAACATGAGCATGCTCTTTAGTATTTAGATCCGCGAATCTTCAACTTCTGCGATTCCATGCCTTGGATCCATTCCCCGAACAGGCCACTGCCAGCCGAGCAACTCAAGACCACAGTTTTGCAGCTTCAAGAACGCCTCCTGTTCAGCCTCAGAGCAAGTCTTTTCGCTGGAGGAAAGGGCCAGTTGTCAAGTACTGTAATGGGGATTTTGAAGGGCTCTTGAAGTTTCAAACATAAGGAACATGTACCACTCTTAGTTGGGATTGTTGGGTTTCCACACATGAGCACGAATCAAAGCTGTTCAAGAAGTTAGCCTCGACAAAAGAGGACCTGTCTATGTGCCTCCCTCTCTCTCTCTCTCCAGAATCTAGCCGTCTTTGAATTGTCTTTGTGCATCTTTGTGCCTATATATAGGCATACTGATATACAGTAATCTGATACACATTTCACACATCCAGAAACATGCGGACACAATGTGGACAAATTTGCTTCAGATCCCCTTCAACACGCCCTCTGCAAGCCTTCATGGCCTCATAGCAGCTTTCTGAACAAAGCCGCCAGTAGCGCGTGGTAGGGCAACAGCGCAAGGGTCCACAGAAGCTGCAGTGGTCGCAGGTGAGAAGCCCTTAGAGGATGGGGGGGAGTGCGATGGGGTTAGCAGCGCTGTCAGGTCAGCCCTCAGGCAAAACCACAAGCGAATCTCGGGAAGGTGCGATGGTCCAAGAAATTATCGTTGTTATTTTTTTTAATTAATACAGTTTGTGCTTGCCTTTGGAACTGCCAACTTCTGAAATTCTAGGTGGTTTCTCATGCAAGTGCCCACAACATGAGCCCCTTGACTATCTGTCGGCCCTATCTCATTTCAACTCCATCTCACGGCCAGGCACAGTTGGCCTCCGTCGTCACCTCTTCCGCCTCCTTCTTCCGCGCCCGCTTGGTCGTCTTGACCGACCGCACGCGAAAAATGAAGCATTCCAGTCGCAGCATGGGATAGCAGGGGAGCGGCAATCGTAGCTCCAGGTCATAGTTGGCCCATAAAGACTCGTGGAAGGACCGTGTTGCAGTCATTCCGCTATACCACTCGCCGATATAGACGACATATCCTTGACCAGCGAAATTTGAGAGGTCGCAACCCAGTTCAAACTGGTGAAACAGAACAATAGTTTCCTGATGTGCCCCTGGAATCTACTACACCCTTTGGCTTTGAACTTGCATATAAATGCATACCAGTTGTCGGAGGTTGAGATGACCTGTCAACATCCTACAGTATATCCTTTTCTTCCGGCACCTCGCAACCATATGTGAAATGCAACCTTAGTGCCTCCAGCTCCCAGAAATTGAAGGTGGAGGACATCTGTCAACAAGAAATGTCCAAAGTTTTCTTCTTGTCCAAGCGGGCCTTTTGGGGTCACGCGGGGTGGTGTGTGCAGCGCTCATCGCAGGGGCAGGCGGCTGGGAGTGCAGCTCGCTGCAGTGCCTTGCTCCCACCCCAGAAGCTGGTCTTAAAGCTGCTGGCAATAGGATCTGGACTTTATGAGCCCTTTTGCAACTGACAAAGGGGACCTCCCTCACTCCCTTTCATTTCTTTCATGTTCCCAGTCAAGGTTTCAAGCCAACAGAAAACACAACAAAAGACAATTGCAGCTGAATCGTGCTATAGTTTAATCGATCAAACAATCTACTTGTACCGAGCACCTTCGTTACAAACCCTCTTCAGTCCAACCCCGGTACCGACCTGTTGCATGGCCCGTCTTCACCAACGCCCGGGTCCGCAACGGTGAAGCCGCCGGTTTCGCTCCGAGGCTCGGCCGGTGAAGTGTCGCAGCGCTTCATCGGCACAGGCAGCTTCACCCGGAGGAGGCATGCAAAGGAGCAGCAGTTCCCTGTACGGAGTCGCATTCGGAAGTTGGGAAGTGGGGATGGCTGAGGGGGGCGACCCCTCAGCCGGACTGGGGATTTCTTGAACAAGGCAGTGGGTGGAGGCTGTAGGAAATGGATGAGTCATGGTATTTGATAGCTGATAGTGATACTTGAAGTACGCCTGGGTGCTTGAAAGTACTAGGACCTATATAAAAGGCTTGGAAGGCTGCTCGTAGGAGAATTGACAGTGATGACGAACGCCCACTGATGATTATGGGACTGAGGTCATGACTCAGACCTGAAGAACACAACCACCCCAAATATCTCTAGGACGCCCAACCCGCGCTTTTCAGCGTAGAGTCTCTCTACTACCTTACTTGTCAAACAAATCAATTAAACATACACCACGATTGGCAAGTGAACCAAAACCAAGTAGTTGGACGAAAGGTTGGTCAATTATGGGGAGATGTACTGTTCTGCAGTGCAGTGCTCGAAGCGTGAAAACACAAAACATCAAAAAAACCGTCGAAGCGTTCACTGATGAAATCTGCATTTGATTCCTGTGCAGTCGGCTGGGGGGACCAACCCGATTCTGTGGAACTACCATTTCATCCTTCCAAAGTCAACGTGCGGACGTACCCCGTCCCAATAAATAGGAACGACCGATGCAAAATCAGGTTGCGTCTGGGCAAGAATTTCTGTTCGTGATGGTGATGGTCAAGAAACATGGTGTGCCCGTATTTAGATACAACACGTTTA